ACCCAAAGGATTCTATGATTCTAATCTTTTGTTTTGCTTTCCAGGATGGAGATGTAATTAAGAAGGCACCTTCTGTGGACCTGGCAAGCAAAAAGTGCCAGCAGGTGCTGATGGAGCTGGAAGGAGTGCTCCAGCACTTGGAAGTAATGTTTAGCTTGACACTGGTTCCTCGGGTTCTCATCCTACTTGGAGGCAACGTCATGAACCCTAAGGAGCTGTATGAGCTCAACCTGGAGGCTCTCTGCGAGGCCAGCGCCGAGGAGAGCCTGAAGCCTTCGCGCTGCGTCCGCAAGCTGTTCCACGCGCTGTTCCTGGCGGACGTGTTCAGCGAGCTGCAGGCTCTGCCCGCCACGGGCACCGCCGTCATGCTCCAGGGGCACCGCGACTGCGGCGTCGGCTGGTTCCGGCCCAAGCTCAACTATAAAGTGCCCGCCCGAGGGAGGAGACTAACTGTGAACTTGTCCTCTGCTGGAGACATCAACGTTAGTGCCTCGCCGCCTCGGCCCGTGACCCCGGCGTGGGAGGACTACGTCTGGTTTCAAGCCCCGGTGACGCTCAAAGGCTTTCGTGAATGAACTGTGCTCCGTAGAACTGTAACGGGATACTGAATAACCTTTGGTGCTGATTAAAGTGGTAATAACTTGTATCCAATGTAACCCTGTACTCTTGTCTATCTGAATCACTACTCCGGGGCATCTGCTGCATTCCTGTATCTCGACTGTGTTAATCTGAGTCTCCTGAACTGTTGAAAGGAAATGCCCCTTAAGGCGCCGCTGCACAAGCATACAGTGATTCTTTAGGGACCTAAGTTGTGGCACAGGAGAGGAACTAGTGTGTAGAGTAAAGCTTTTCTGCTGTGTACTTGCTCAACTGGCAAATGCTGGACCCAGTCTTCCCTCTCGAGTTTATTTCAGCCATTTCTTGGGTAATAATTACCACATTAGCTGGTTGTTTGGGACTCTAGATAATTTCCATGATTATTAATACACTTGGCCTTTACTGTAAAGGCCTTAACTGTTCCTAACTACCCTGTTCCTATCAAAGGAGACCTTTCCCTCCACTCTGATCAGGGCTAAGTACTCAAGTGTTTGCCCATCTATTTGATAAAGTTACATTTCCCCTGAACTCAAGGCCAGTTCCTTAATAATCTGATGAGGGGGACTTCTCAGCTACTGGGAGGTCTTGTGCTTGGCATGATCTTGTACTGGTGATGAAAAGAGGTTGAGCAGTCCTGTGGAGGCAGGAAGGCACACCTTCCTAATTATTTTTATTAACTTTTAGTACAACAGACCTGACAATGTTATAATTAAAAGTGAGCAGTTTCTGCTGTAACCCTCTTCAGAGGAAGTTAGGACTCCTGCCCAATATGCTAGTTAATTGTTATTTAAAACAACATAAAAAAACCTTAGTTTCTTGTTAACATTTATATCTTAGAAGTTTTAATGTCTTAAGATAAGATGTTTCTGAAATGTGAGGAAGAGGTGTGGGGAGTGTGATCAAGTTCAGCACTATATTTACCTGTTAAATTCCTGTTCTAAGTCAGTGTATTCCTTGGAAGCAGAATTTGAACCCTTTCTTCTGGCCTGGTGTCTAGTGCAGAGTCAGACAGGAGGGAAGGAGGGGAAGCCTTAGAACACTGGGTCAGAACTAGCTATCTGCTGGGGTCCTCTTCAGCCAGCTGTGTGTATCTAATGCAATGAGCTTAACAGCTCCCAGTAGTGCTCTCCTATTTGAAGAGAAACTGGAGGCTGCTTGCAGTTTCTTGCTAGCAAAATACGTATAATGAGGTGGTAAAAATCCTTTGAAAGGAGGGCAGAGCTTGAAGTCACCCTCTTCACTTGGTGTGTATTTTAACTTCGATCTCTTGGAATGCAATGAGATAAATACAAATTCCTCCTAGTTCTGTTTTGAGCTTGGAGAACACTAGGGGTGCTGTGTCTGCATTATTAACCATTAACAACTGTTTACAATGTGTAGTAGCTCCTAAAGCTAGCTCTAGGGGGAAAACTGCTAAAATGAAGACAGCTGCCTTATGTGCAGCTGCCCACTTGAATATGTAATCACAGGTCTCTTGAATGAAATAGAACTTGAACGTAGGAGTGGTTGTGCTCAGGAGACCAAAACCCTTTATACTTCCACCAAAGCTGCAATGGTAGCACTCAGGTATGTGAAGAAGCTTTTTAAGGGAAGCCTTAGTTCTGAGGAACAAGGGGCCAATTCCTTTCTGCTCTCTTCCCCAAATGAGTGTAATGTTCCTGCGTTAAGCTGTTTACATATTGTTATACTTGAACTATGAATGCAGCAGTTGTATGCTATGGTGCCAGGAATGAAAGAAGACAAGATGCTTTTTTTACGCTTTAGAGCTTTATAACTAAATTTGTTAATTTAGTATTATAATCATTATCAAAATAAAACGTTATTTTCTGTATATGATAACACTGGATTTATTTAATTCCTCAAAGTAAAAGTTCTGCTGGTAGCAGGGCAACTTGTTCCCATTGTGTGTATTCAAGCTGCAGGCTCACAGCTTTTCCACCTTTCTGACAAACTGCATGATGTCTTGTGCCAGAAGCTTTGGTTCCTCAAAGGCAGCAAAGTGTCCTCCACGTGGCATATAAGAGTAAGTGATGATGTTCTTGAAGACCTCCTTTGCCCAGGCCTGTGGTGTATGTACTATCTCCTGAGGAAAAGCTGCAATCCCTGTGGGAACATGCACTCCAACCCTAGAAGACATTAGGTAGCTGCATTTTTGAAAGAAGTCTTGGGGAGAGTCTATAAAAACCTTCTGACTCTGGTAACTGCCACAGTCAGCTGTAGAAGTTTCACCACAACAACCCCTTTTGTGGTCTGTACTCTGCTGAAGGCTTCACTTGTATTTGGATCTCCTTGAATTTAAGAATGTTACACCCAAAGATGCATAAAGCAGAGCCAGCTTGGCACAGAGCTCAATCTTGAAATGTTTCAGATTTTTTTAAGCTTACATTGGTTTGTAGTTCTGTGATGTGTGGCAAGATGCCACACCCCTTTGTGAAAGGCAGAAATGACCTAGCTCATGTTTACTTTAGAATTTATGGTCCCAGCATAACAAATGACTCTTTTGAGAGGAATGGTGAACTGCTTCAGTCTACAAAGAAAAAGACTCTTCTATTTGTATGATCAATCGCTGGGAAAATTCTGCTCAGCAGCATTTTTCTGGCCAGCCTCTTACAGACACCTTAAAGCCAGTGGCTATGAGAAGTTATTTGGTTTCAAATACTGCTTTCCAAATTGTTTGTGCTTAACAGTAGTAGTTCTTAGTTTATCCCCCAGTAAGCTGTGTCCTTCCTAATCCAGTTTAACCTTCTCTCTTACAAATACTCATGACTTTTTTTTTTTATTTTACTGAACTGAGCCACAGATCACATTTGTTTGGTGAATTAGTATAGAGACCTGTGTTCTGAACACAAGACCAAATATACTTTGATAAGTCTTCTGTGTTATCTTGGCAACAATCTACCTTGTATGAATTCAGGGTCGCTTTTCTTTTGAACCTATAAGTGTATTTATCAAAAGGAAATAAGAACTTAAATTTCTTTTTAACTAGTTAAATTTGCTGCTGTAAGTGATGTAAATGAACCGCATTTGTCTGTGTAAACAACCTCATCTGCAGATCTGTCTTACACCTGCTACTTCATTACCTGGCATGAGCAGTTAGACCAGGGTCCTTGGAGAAGTTCTCCTTGTAGAATCGCATGGAGGACACGATGGAGGACGTCACCCAATATATCATCACATTGGTCAAAAGCTCATCAAGAGTGTATTTGCTGTTGAGAGAGAAAGATGAAATTTCACTGGGAGCTGTGTTTCAATATGCTATATTGGACTCATGCCCTGAAGAACCGTCATTCCTCTTGGTCTCCACTTGTTCTCAAGGAGCAGATAAATAGGCAACCGTGTGCCCAGAGCAAAACTGCTTGGTGCTGGAGCAGTTGTTTGCAGGCAGTCTGCTACAAGTTTAAACTCCTACTTGTCACGTGTAATCTTTCATTCTTAAAACTCAGCTTTGACTGGCCAGTCTTTTATCTATCACCTTGTTAGTTATCATCACTCATTCTTTTAATGAGCCTTCTCATGGAAGAGCATCTTTTTTCTTACCTTTCCAAGCCTCCATCATCTTGATGCAGAAATGATTTATCTGTCCAGGTAGAGAATTTCTCCAAAATATATGCAGCAAGCCCCACAGGGGAGTCATTCAGTCCACAACCTAATTCAGGAGAAGAATGGGAGAGCTATTGCAGTTGCCTGGCAGTGCAATAGTTCAGTGGAAGTTAAACTGGACTTTCATGAATTCTTCAAAGGTTTTAGTGAAGAGCCTGTATATTACTAGCCCTAGTAGTACTTTATCCTTGATGTACTTGCCACAATGGAATTCTGGCTGTAACTTACAGCACTACAAGCTCAAGTAATTCCTGTACAAAAGAAGAAAGTTATGTTTGCTTCTTTGTAATGTGTGGCAGAAGGAGAAAATTCAGATGTAAAGGGATTATACTCTGAAAAGAAATGTCAAAGAAACTATTTGGGAGCACTGTCCTGCTTAGGATGGATAACCAGGACCCTGAGTGCTGTTCATCACTTTTTATCTAAGTGGAGTGTTGTGTATCTGTTATCTTTTCCTGCCTTTTGGGAACACTAACAAACATCACAAACACAATGGGTACGTGGCATAACGTGTCTGTATTCTTACCTGCAACAGAGGGGTGGGCATTACTCCAGCAGTGATGGAGCCTTGCCTCAGGAGTATTCCTGTGCCATACCCTGGGCTGCAGTGTTATGATATGCTCAGTGCTGCCTGCTCTCAAGCGTATTTCAGTGGGACTTTAGCACTGAGTGACTTTGTAGAAGATGTTGCCCAGTGTGGTCTCAATTTAACAGTGGACAAGCTAAGGCAGAGTAAGTTTGTGCATTGACACAACACTTTCCTTGCAGTGGCCTACGGTGATCTGCTACAGATCAGTCATGTAAATGCTTTTACCAGCAGTGGCTAGGCAGCCTAAAATGTGCCACCTAGCACATGGCCCATCTGGAGATGAGCATTTTCTGGGCTGAAACCTGTCTCTGAACCACTGTATCCAGCGTCTGTGGATTAGATCCTCAGAAATACTAGTCTTGTTTGCAGCCGAGTAGTCATTCAATCTGTACCACTGTCATCTCAGCTTGTGGTGACTGAAAATACTTTGGCTTTGCTTTAAAACTGCCTAATGAAAACTAAACTGGTAAACTGAGAAGTAGAGAAAACATTACACCCCCACCCCTCCTTCACTTTCTACATTTTGCAATTTTAGTATGCTACAAAATCCCTGCTCTTATTTTTCTGGGTTGAAAAGTTCCAGACTATATATAGTGCTTGTACAGAAGCTGCTTGGTCACTTCAGTCTTCCTTTTCTCCCCTTCCTGTATTATTCTGATTCTAAAATATATTTATGAAACAAGGTGAATAAGTGTGCAACAGATTCTAAATATCAATTTAGTGTTTTATCTTAGTCTCTTTTTACTTTCTTTAAGCATTTGTAAGATTCTTCTAAACTCTGAGCTGGCC